ATGTTTATTTATTTTTGAGAGACAGAGTGCAAGCAGGGGAGAGGCAGAAAGAGAGGCAGAACAGAGAGTCTAAAGTGAAGCGCGCTCTGCACTGACAGCAGCGAGCCCCGTGTGGGGCTAGAACCCAGAAACCACGGTATCATGACCTGAGCTGAAGTTGGCTGCTCAGCTAACTGAGCCCCCCCGGGCGCCCTGGACGTAAACTCCTAGGAGTGTTACGTGCGTTTGCCCACCGCGTGTTGTGCAGAAACCAGCACATTCGTCTCTTCCAGATTGCGGGGACTGTTTGTTGGGTGTGAAGAAGAGCTATACCGACTCACATGGCACCCGATGTGACTGGCTGGAATCAAACCATTTTTGTTTTGTTTTGTCTATCACAGAAGCATGAAGGCACGAAGGCCTTAATCTCCTCTTGATTTAGATACACGCACCCAAATCCCCAAGATTCCAAATGATCCAGGAGAGCTCTGACTTTTATAATGGAATCTAAAATTTCCTGAAATCTCTTCTCAGTCAGCACCTTCCGATCGCTGTGCTCCTTTATTTTTCTGTTTGTCCAAGTCCCCATGTCTCAAGCTCCAGAGAAGGTCTCTGAAGGCCACGTCCCGGTTCTCGTGCCGGGTGTATGGTCCAGGCTGGTGTCCTCTCCATCTGTCCCTTCCTGGTTGTTCTGGACCGCAACCACACCTCCTCCAGGCCCCTCCTTTCCTGACGGGAGGTTCACACAGGGTTTGGCTGGTCCTCACAGCACAGGATGGATGACCACTTAGCAGGTGTGCTGGAGACATGATTTATTTGTAGGGCCCTTGCCAACCCTGGTCTGGTTGATCCTGTCCTCCTGGATCTTTCTACAACCATTTCCTGCCTTCCCTGGTTCCATTCTTGTCCTCCCTTAAGGAACAACAACAGTAACAGAACCATTTCCAGCATACATGCACCAAGCACTCCCTCTGTGCCAAGCATCATTCGGGTGGCTTTACGTGTCTTCACTCACTGAATCCTCTCCAACGACCTATCATTACCTCCATTTTACAGATGAGGAGATAGAGGAAAAGGGTGCATAAGTTGCCTGCCCAAGACGACACAGAGGTAGAGCAGTGCTTCCGACCTTGACTGCTGATCAAGTTCCAGGAACCCCCAGCTTGTGTCCAAGGGGCAGGGGATCTCTGCTTTGGGGTCCCACTACTTGTAAAGGCTCAGTCCCGGTAACAAACTGGGGCTCTAACTGTGTGTACTCCTAACAGAGGAACAGATAAACATGACCTCTGGTGACCTGTTAGTGAATTCTTCCACTCTTTCCGAAGGTGTCACCTTGATATTGCCAAGAGTGCCTTCTTGATCTCATCCGAAAACCATGTTCAGAATATCCTGAATTTTTACTCCTATGGATCTTATCCTCCTAGAATGGCCCAGTGGCTCATGTGGGAGATTACATCCCTAAAGTCTTTTTTGGGAAAGACATATGCTAAAAATACATGCTTTCTGGTGGCACTTTATTTCCAGTGGTCATTAAATAGCCCCACTGATCAACTAGCTATCTTTCCCTCTGGGGTACTTTTTAAAAGAGTATTATTATTGGTTTTGAACTCCAGCAAAATCCTCCTCAACCACTGTCATGACCCATCTGACTCCTGCCTGGGGGCAAAAGCTGTAGCTGTTCTCTCCTCTGTGCTCATCTATTCCATTTGTCCATAAGGCATTGATCAGAAGGGTGTGTGTTTTGAGGAGTGACAAGGAGAGAAGGGACAGACTTCCCTCCTCTCTTGTGATGTCCCATGTCCTCCCCCATATAGTCTGGACAACCAAGAAGATGTTTATTTTAGGGGTGCCCAAGTGGCTCGTCGATTAAAGCGTTCCAGCTCTTGATTTCGGCTCAGGTCATGATCTTATGGTTCGTGAGACTGAACCCTGTGTCAGGCTCTGCACTAACAGCTCAGAGCCCGCTTGGGATTCTCTCTTTGCCCCTCCCCCACCTCAAAATAAATAAACTTTATAAAAAAAGACGCTTATTTTAAAATAATATCCATTATGGTTGTCATCTACCTACTTTTAAAAAACTCTACCTTTTCAGTTCCATGGTGGGCCTGCATTCTTTTGCTAAATGGAATGGCTGCTAATGGACCCTGTTGTGTCTCTGCAACCCCAGGGTCTGTTCGGACCGGTACTGCTCAGCTTTCTCCTCCAGATCATTGCTCCCCGTCTGTCCGCTCCGCACAGCCAGGCTTATTCAGGGCCAGATTTTCTCTACCACGGACTCAATAGCTATCTTTTTTAGGAAATAGGTGTTTGTCCCAGTGGGGCACTGCTGTCAATATCTGCCCTAGGTTTTAGGTTCTTTCCAGTCTTGTTTACTGGCATTTTCTTGTAGTTCATTGTCTCAGGACCCTGACCAATCCAGCATCGTAACCTCCGGCAGGCATGGACCATTTCAGCTTCCATGCTGTTCTGCATCGCTATGTGTAACTGCTGGCTGCCTGCCATTTTACTTCAGGTGAAGCTCATGCTTCCTACACAGTCTCTGCCTGGTCCACAATATCCCGAATGTCTAAATGTTATAAGATCTAAGACTCATCTGAGCACTACGGTCCCATCCATGCCTGGAGGCTCAAAATTTCCCTCTTCTGATCCCTCTGAGAACAGCTACCTCTGAGCGCTGTGCCCAGCCCTCCCTCCATAGTCGTATCTCATTCCCAACCTCTCACAATGCTTTCTGGCCTAGACTCGCATCTTATTCTTACAACAACATAATGAAGAAAGGGAACAGTGTCTCCATTTGGCAGAACAGTCCACCCCAGGTCGTTCCTGTTTCTCTTACCTCTTCAGGTGACATGGTGTCCACCAAATCCGTTGACTCCTAGAGAAGAAAGACATAGGTCCAAGTTCTTTCCCTTTTCATGGCAGTTATGGTTCCTTTGGCCATTAGCCATCTCTCACAGGCCAGGGCCACAGATCCCTGCCTTCCTAGTCATGGTTTCTTCCATATGAACTTTCTCCATGGTGGGGCCTTCTCACTTCTGCCTTGCGGACCATGGATGTCTCCGTTCGCAGAGGCACGCCCCTTTCCCTGTCCACCCTCCGCGACACATCTGCTCTCACCTGGGTTGTTTTCTTCTTTGTGGGGCGAGGTCTGCCCAGTAAGCAGCGCAGCAGGGACCGGAAGACAGAGGGTCTTTGACCTGAGGGGAATGGCAAGTGGATGGAAACGGAAACAGAGCGGTATCTGTCCTAGGAGGAAACGGCCGGCTGGGGAGGCTCTGAGGGACGCCTGACACTTTGCCAAACAAGGTGTGTACTTCCCGGATGCGTCACCTCCCTGGACACCCTCTCTCCTACCCTCTTAAATCAGCTCTTGCCCTTCCCTGGGACGGTGATATGGAGACTCAATGTATAGGTATCCCATCCCCCCGCCCCCCTCCTTATAGTAGCAGCTGTTAGGTTGAGGAGAGCCCAGAGAGAAGCCACAGGCATGAATGCGGGTGCATGCTGGGAGAATCTTCACCTGCGGGGTCCGGGGCTTCTGGCTGCTGTTTGTGGCTGGGCAGGGGCCCATTGGGCTCTTCTGGGGACAATGGAGTGGCAGGAAAGGAGCGAGGAGCGGGGAGAGGAGGCAGCTGTAAGGAACAGTAAAAATTCTCAGTCCTGGGGAAGAGGCTGCCTAGCACTTTCCTCCCCTTATCAGCTGGTGTCCTGGGAAATCTCTCGACCTCTATTCTTTCTCCCCTTTCAGAATTCCTGTGTCTCTTTGGGTTCTCATTGGTACCATCACCTGCAACCTTATGTCCTTCAGCCCCTGGCCCCCAGGGACACTGGTCTCTTTGACCTTCTCAGTGATCAGCATGCCCTCTCTGTCCTCTGCCCCAATCTATCCAGCTCCCCCAGCCCCACCCCTGCCTGGTCACCTCGGGCTTCCCAGAGAGGTCCTCCTCTTCATCCTCATCCACAAAGGCAAAGGACTCCCTCCGGCCCTCGGATGGGATGCCTTGGTGCCCCCTGCCAGCAGGCCGCGCCTTTCCATCATAAGGCAGCTCAGACAGCTTCCTGGCCATGTCCTGGGCTGCCCGCAGCCTCCGCTCAGGGCACAGGTGGCGCTGCAGGAGGGACTGCAGCTCTGACCGCTCCACGGAGCCCAGCAGGATCATTGAATCTGGGGGAGAGCGGAGCACAGCCTGAGGGCCCGCTCCTTCCACTCCCCGCTCCGCAGGATCCAGTCCGGTACAGAAGCCCAGCACCCCTGCTTCATTTCCCAGCTTTTACCCTCTCTTTCTGAAAACTCATTTCAAACATCTGCCAGGACTGACCTCACCCAATCCCTTTTATTTCACTCATTCAGCACTTAGAGACCCAATTGATACTATCCTACTTAGTGCTAATTTGTACTTATTTGAATGCAGCCCTTCCTTATACAGGCTGTTTGTAAATAGGTGAACTTGGCATCAAAATAGCTAATCAACCCTGTCTCAAAAAAAAAAAAAAAAAAAAAAAAAACACTTTAAAATCCACTTATATAGGCTGAGATGTGAATATACTTTGAAAGAAGTGTACAAGGATATCTGATGCTTAATCACTTAAAGACTCTGGGTCCTTCTAGGATATAAACAAAACGCCTACTTTTCCTGGGAAGGTGTTTCATATACGGAAATTTCTGCTACCATAATGAACCTTTTCATTAAGTTGTAAGCTCATAAAATTGTGGCAGTGTTATTAAGATAAATCTTACCATTAAGTCTTTGTCATTATTATGAAAACCTTGTATCTCATTGGCTGTACCCAGACTCCAATGAAAAGCCACTGCTTTAGAGGCCACTTAAAAAGTATTTGGGATTTGGGGAAAATATTAAAATGAGTCTAACCTGAACAATTTGGATGCTCTGATTATCTGAAATCAGGAACTAACAAATTTAATGGCTCCAAGTGGCCATACATGATTCTTCTTAATTACACTAATTCAAGCACTAGGCGAGTATCAATTTAATATCTAGTAAATACCTACAGGGAGACAGCCTGAAGGGGATAGAAGTTACAGTGTCTGCCCTCAAAGAATTCCCAATCTAGTGAGACATAGATATATAAACTACACAAGAAATAATACACAGCAGGATTAAATGCCAAAGGATGATGAAATAAAGTAGTGTGTGAAATCACTGCTTTAAACCATTCACTCCTCGGAGCGCCTGGGTGGCTCAGTCGGTTAAGCGTCGACTTTTTTTTTAATGTTTATTTATTTGAGAGAGGGAGAGAGAGAGAGAGAGAGGGAGAGCACAAGCAGAGGAGGGGCAGAGAGACAGAGAGAGAGGGAGACACAGAATCCGAAGCAGCCTCCAGGGTCTGAGCTGTCAGCAAAGAGCCCGACATGGGGCTTGAACTCATTAACTGTGAGATCATGACCTGAGACAAAGTTGGACATTTAACCGACTGAGCCACCCAGATGCCCCAAGTGTGGACTCTTGATTTTGGCTCAGGTCATGATCTCACGGTTCGTGAAATCGAACCCTGAGCGGGGCTCTGCACTGACTGTGCAGAGAGTACTTGGGATTCTCTCTCCCTGTCTCTCTTTGCCCCCACCCCCCAAAATAAATAAACAAACATTAAAAAGGATAAACCATTCACTCCTTCATACAGAACGGTTTCCTCTGCCCCTCACGTCGGGCACTAAAGAACAGCTACCGTTTAGTGAAGTAGCAAAGAGAACCACGTAAGGGGCTAAGCCTCACTGTTCATGGATTCCTTGATTGCAAATTTGTCTCCTGTCTCAAATACGGGGGCGTATTTGTAACCCCCAGATCAGTGCTCAAGGTGCCCTCGCCGTCATTCACAGACCTGTACAGAGCGGCGAATGACCGGGGGCCTCCCTGTGCACGTGTTCCCAGCTAAGCTGCAAAAGTGATGCTCTGCTTCTTGTTTCAGCTCCCGTATTGTAAACAAGCATTCTTTCCATGGTCTGTTTAATGCCACATTTTCACATTTTTGTTGGTTCTGTGTTGGTGATTTTGCTGCTTAAACCCCACCCCACCCCTCCCCATCCCCAAGCAAGAAGGCTGTGATAGGCCTTATGGAGAACATCCGTGTGCTAGGCAAGCTTCGTTCAGGCCTGAGTTATAGCCCTGTTGGCCATGAATTCTAGTTAGTGAATCAACACTATATACATGAAATAAGCTGTCTTTAAAGAGAAACACACATAAACCAAGTTTATGCATTGATTAGTTGAAGAAAATGTGACCAGAGGAACCTAACCCTGTATTTCCTCCAGGGCAATGGTTCAGTATCATATCCCTAATTCAGTGTTCATGGCAACTTTAGAGAACATAACTACAATGACTAATGAGAATCAGCTATAGTTCTCTAATTGGATTTTTCACTATCTTCTTGCGCTTGTGTTAGGACTGTATTTTTCCTTCTCAAAGATGATCGTGTTCCTTAAGGAACACAGGCTGGGTATGCTGTGGCACAAATGGGTGGTCTCTAATGACAAGCCCACACTACAGTGTCTCTTCCACCTCTGTGGAGCCCTTGTTCAGGTAGCTAGCTCAGGAGTTTATTTCCTTCCTTCCCACTGACCTTTCGAATCAACCAGTGGTAAAGTCTTGACTGTGGTGGTCTGGAGCAGGGTTTGCAATTCCCCATACGTGCAGGCGGCTGAAACAAACTTCACATCACGCACCATGATGTCCTCAACAAAGATTGTAAATTTGCTACAGAGGAAGAAAGCATGGGGGTTAGCCCCACCATACACTTGTTCCTTTGCCATCCCAGGCATTCCATCACTCATAATATTCATCAAGTACATGGGAACATAAAAGTAAGTAAAAAGCAGTGTTTCCAAATGTTGACCCTAACCTCGGTCTCAACCTCAGAACCTCCCACCCCCACCCCATCAAGTCTGAACTAATTCCAGCTGGTGCCCCTGACCTGAGCTGGTTCCAACCAAGGTCAGGCAAGTAGGGTAGCTTCTTGACCTGGATGATGCTGTCATAGAGGGAGGGCTGCAGGCTCTGAGCCACCATGTTGGCCAAGATGACAGCCACCATCATGGGGAGGATGTGGGCAATCTGACCCGTTAACTCGAAGCAAATCACAGCTGTGGAGACCGTATGGGACACTGCACCAGTCAGCGCTGCTGCCCCTAGAATGACACACAGGAAGCGGTGGGTTAGGGTTGCCATTCCTGGCATGGAGGGCACGTGAGGATGCCATGGGAGTGACGTAGAATGGGGAGACATGACCCCAGTCAGTACCAACACTCCTGACATAATCATCTGTCAAGAGTAGTGGTGAGAATGCTCAAGTATTAGAAAACCATTTTAATCTTACTCGATGTCCTTTGGCAATTTGCAAAATCATTGTGTGTGCCCAGATTTTCACTTATAAAATGAAGACAGTGATGTCCTATCTATTCCTTGCTTTAGAAAGTTTGGATCATTCTGTTTTGTTTTGTTTTGTTTTGAAGTAGTCTCTACACCCAGTGTGGAGCTTGAACTCACAACCCTGAGATCGAGAGTCACATGCTCTACCGACTGAGCCACCCAGGCGCCCCAGAAGTTTGGACTGTTCTTAACTGAGCATTTTAAAACCCAGTGATAGCATTTTACTTTGGGCCTCAGGTTTTGATGTCAACAATTTATGAATGAAGAGGGTCAAACCCAGGACTCAGGCTGTGGACTTGGAACATGACACCTGTGTCAGATCCTGGTTCTACAGTTTCTCAACTGTGCGAACAGAACTTGATGCTTCTGGAATCCCATATTCTTATCTCTGAGGTAAATGAGGTATTAAATAAGTTGTAAGGCCCTTGCAGACCTACAATGTTATGATTCTGTGAACTCTTTGAAAACAGAATCTGTCTTATTTGTTTTTAGTTATGTTTTCCCATCAACAGAAATAGTTGCTAGAAGGTATACATGGAAAGAGAACAAGAAACATTTACAAAAGAGAAGGGCACAGTCAGTAGAGCGTGCAATTCTTGATCTCGGGGTGGTGAGTTCAAGCCCCATGTTGGGTGTACCGCTTACTTGATGGGGAATAAGAGCAGATGACTCTTACTGATGAAAGAGGCTTTTGTAAAGGACTGTGATCGGGGAGTAAGGTCGCCATATGCAATGCAAAACCGGTTAAGGCTTCTATATTTAAGGGAGGCATGGCCTTAGATGTTATGGGATTTTGGTGAAGAACATAGGAGGGAGGAGGCATACTAATTTTGAGGATTACACTGGCTTCTGTGTTAGACATGGTTTCAGTTGGATGGTTTCAGTTGGATTATCACAGATTATCAGAATGTTAGGACCGTGAGATATCTCAGAAGTCACGTGAGGGCAAAGAAAGTGGGGTGCAGAAAGGTAGCTAACTTGCTCTGTAGTCATGCAGGTGACAAGTGGCAGAGATGAGCACATGTTCTTAGGTCTTAGTCATGTACTCTTAAGTCCCGTCAATATTGGCACATCTGTAGGTTGGGAGTATCCAAGCAAGTCACCTGCATTGCTGTTTCTCTGATTCTTTGGAAGCAAAGAAAAAACCCTCACCAAACATTCAGACACAATCCTAGGTGCTTTCCTTCTTATCTTGTTTAATCCCCATAATAATCCCTTTTCTACAGAAAGAAACTAAGGCTCAAAGACATTCAATAAGAGCTAATGAGAGTCAGAGCCAAGGGCTGATTATTTGAACAAAAGTTGAATCAAATAGCGAAAAATTAAAACCTCATTGTGAAGCCTGGAATAAAGATGTCATGGGAGAGTTTGAGTGTGGCTATTAGGGATTCCGGAGGGTAGAATGTGTCTCACCAATTACTGCATAGCCCCCGGGTAGGATCTTGTAGATGATGTCATCGAATAGGATACCGTCAGGGAATAGCATGGCCATGATCTCTCCCACCAGTCTTCCAAATGCAGCTCCTAGAGGAAAGACAAAAGGAACGAAGGTACTGAAAGATCCAAGTTCCAGATCCTCTATATTTTCAGAGCCAATCCCTGCTTGGGCACTAAGACCAAACATAAGCCCCAAGCATCCAGACCTTTCCTTGATTTCCCAGTACCCTAGATTGCAGCTCTCAGTAAGATCCCAGGCTTCCCACCAGAACTTACCTAGCACAAACACAGGCATGAAGCCTCCACAGGGTATGGGCATAGTGGTGGCCACGATGGACATCCAAAACTGGGGTAAAAAGAGGCATCAGGACACCCTCTCAACCCTGCCCAATACACATGCATACACTCCACCCTCTCCCCACTTCCAACCCTCCTTCTTGCTTCGAGAGTCACAGAAACCCTGGGATAGCAAATCCTTTTGGAAGCCATTTTGTCTGCACCCTTCCTCCAGAACCAAAAAAAAACGTGGAGTGCTCAGTCTAAGAGACAACCAAAGAAACATTATAAGAAAGTTCCTCCTGATCGTTAACTCAAATCGTTCTGACTTGGAGCGACTGTGTTTGCCTTTAGGCAATCTAGAAGGAAGAGTGGAGCCCCTGAAGACTCCTGTCCCTGCTCCAGAAGGCTCCTGGCCTATACTGTACCCTCTTAGCCTGAAAAGGTCATCTCAGCTGAACAGCCTAAAAGTCTTGAAGCTGGAGGACATCTTTTCCCAGTCAGATTATGTTTCTGAAAAAGAGCCCATTTCTAAGTGGCAGACACCTTAAAGTCTTAGTGACTTACTACATGACTAATGTAGCTTTGAGGTGGTCATTTACAAAGCTGTTTATATGGTAAACCTCACAAGGGAGTCTAGAGCGAAGCCTGTCTTGCCGGAGCCATTTCCTAACATCAAATCACCTTAAGCAGAGATTCAAAACACATCAGATCTGTCCTGCCATCCTGGAAGGGCACACTGAGAAACCTAGCCAATCTCCAAGGCCAACTCTGTCGGGAAGTATTCCAACAGAAATTGGAACAATTTTAGCAAAAGCAATAGGTACATTCTGTGGCAAGGAATGCAGAAGAATTGAGAAATAAGAGTGGAGAAAAGAGTATTGGTTGAGCTTTTGAAATATCTGTGAAAGAAATAAAAATGTGAGACATAGCATGTGAATTAGGTTTATGTATCACTTCCAAAATAAGTCAGCTAATCTTACAAAAGGATCTCAAACTAATTTGGTGAAAGATGGTAGCAGCTAAGTCCGAACAAATTGACAGGATGAAACATTTACAATTAAAAACCTATGCAAATTTACTGTAAGCTGGTAAGAAATAAATTTCTTAATATTCTGAACCTTAGAAAGATTCCCTTGAGGAGTGCCTGGGTGACTTGGTCGGTTAAGTTTAGGTCGTGATCTCACGGCCTGTGAGTTCGAGCCCTGTGTCTGACAGCACAGAGCCTGCTTGGGATTCTCTATCTCCCTCTCTCTCTGCCCATCCCTCATTCATTCTCTGTCTCTCTCTCTCTCTCAAAATAAATAAAAATTAAAAAAAAAAAAGATTCCATTGAGACAGGGCTGGTGTCAAGAGCCATGACAGAAACTCTGGGAAGGTTTCTTTCCAGAAGCTCTGAGTTGATGCAAAATGCATACATACTTCTTCAGGTCAGAATATGAGTGGGTAAAACAGTTGAGAACTGCAAAGTCAAGTGAAGAGATATAAACTAAGAACGCCTTGAGTAGAAAGCAACCGCATGCCTCTTCTCTACCTGCTCTCAGCACTGGCATGGTGCTCATAAATGCAAGTCAGATGTAGGTAGGTCACTGGGGAGGGAGGGAAGGAGGGAGGAAGGAAACAAAGAAGAGAGTTTGCTTGGTCCATGCAAGTGTCCGTGCAAATAGTGTCCATACAAAACAGAAAAGGCTTCTCAGAGATAATATTTGCTACAACACCCAACAGAAATGCTCACTGGTAAACTGGTTGAAACTGCAGATGACCAGACACCATGTCAGTCTGTCTAGACATGGAGTTCTAGACCCTTCTAGTTTAACCTTCATAAGTGATTCTGACATATAACAATTGGAGACCCCTTGAACTATTCTGTGCCATCTTTTTGGAATAAGCACATGAAAGCCATACAGAATTTTGTTGGTTTGGGTTAACCTGAACACTCCAGTAATACAGATAATACGTGGATAATAGGGCTGAATTCAGAGGACAAAGTTTGGATTATCCCCCAAGATATGTGTAAGAACAGATGAGGATCAGAGGACATGGAAGTGATCAACCCCTGTAGCACAAAGAATGACATATGAGGTTAGCAAACTCTCTGAGCTATTAGCGCATGAAAGGAAGGATCCAGAAGCAAAGTAAGTAATGTGGAACACAAATAACTCCCAAGAATTTAAACACCCAGTTCTAGAGAATTGGGAAAGTAGACACCTGTTATGACAGATGTCACTTTATTTAGACCCTCCACAAGAAGGAGTGCTATGAAGAATTCTACTGAACCCTGGGCTATGCTGAACAGTGATACCAGGTAATGATGTTGGACTCTTAAAAAGGGAAACTGAGAAGTTGTAATATTCATACCCATTGTGGGAGCTGGTGACTTACCGCATGGTGATACTTTCTATGTCTTAAGACTGAGGAATACAGAAGTCCCTTTCATCAATAGCTGAGAACCTTATCTACCTGTATGGATACTGCCTGTGTACGTATGTATGTATGTATGTGTGTATATATATGTGTGTGTGTATAGGTAACCTACTACCTATACTTTAATTTTTTTTTTTTTTTAAGACAGAGAGAGACAGAGCATGATTTGGGGATGGGGCAGAGAGAGAGAGTGAGACACAGAATCCGAAGCAGGCTCCAGGCTCTGAGCTGTCAGCACACCCTACGTAAGGCTCGAACTCACGAACTGTGAGATCATGACCTGAGCTGAAGTTGGACACTCAACCAACTGAGCCACTCAGGCACCCTTTTTAAAAAAATGTTTTTTAAATTTATTTTTAAGACAGAGAGACCATTACCTACACTTCAGAATAAAGGGATGTGTATGTGTCCAACAGCAGAACAGTGAAAATGCTGGAAGCAATGATAATCAATCAGACAATATCAGATTTATAGCAGTGAGTGGTTTTATGTGTATAAATATTATATAATAGCACAGGCCTGCTACATACTGTGGGGCTTGAAACATAGCCCAGGAAGTACATGAGTTTCTCCCCCTGACACGCTTATGATATACACATTATCAAGGATGTAATTCAGTGAGAAATTAATAATAGTGACATACAGTTGAGTCCTGCTATATAATCCAATTAGGCTTCTTAGAATAAACTTTAATCTGTGAAGTTGAATCCAGATATATACTTGGGAATCTGGGATGAGGTGAAGTGAGGTGTAGGGGAAATGTTGAAAAATATACAGTATTTTGTTTCTTCAAAACTTTTCAAAAGCTTGACATTTTCTTTTAATTATTTTTTATTATTTATTTATTTATTTATTTATTTTTGCTCCTTCTACTATCTTGGAACCTGTGGAGGCCTGCTGGGAACAGGACTCCTGAAAATGACAAGTATGTCTGGAAGGCTGTGGTCCAAAGCCATTTTTGCTGGCTATAAGCGGGGTCTCCAGAACCAGAGGGAACAACAGCTCTTCTTAAAATTGAAGGTGTTTATGTCGAGATGAAACTGAATTCTATCTAGGCAAGAGATGTGCTTCTGTGTACAAGGCAAAGAACAACAGAGTGACTCCTGGTGGCAAACCGAACAAAACCAGAATACTCAGGAAAAGTAACTCATGCTCCAGGAAACAGTGGCATGGTTCGTGCCAAATTCCAAAGCAACCTTCCTACTAAAGCCATTGGCCACAGAATCTGTGTGACGTTGTACCCCTCAAGGATTTAAACTAACTGAAAAGTAAATAAATAAAGATGTAGATTTGTTCTCCTGTAAAAAAAAAAAAAAAGTTGGTTTTTTGTTTGTTTGTTTGTTTTTAATTTTAGAGAGAGAGAGAGTGCATGCAAGCAAGGGAGAGGGGCAGAAGGAGAGAGAGAATCCTAGACAGGCTCCACAGCTAGCACAGAGCCTGACGTGGGGCTCAATCCCATGACCATGAGCTCATGACCTGAGCTGAAATCAAGAGTCAAATGCTCAACTGACTGAGTCACCCAGGCACCCCAAAACCTTGACATTTTAAAAGTATATACGATCCTATCAACAACAGCCAAATTATAGAAACAGCCTAAATGTCCATCGACTGAAGAATAGATAAAAAAGATGTGGTATATATACACAATGGAATAGTACTTGGCGATCAAAAAGAATGAAATCTTGCAATTTGCAGCAACATTGATGGAATTAGAATGAATTATGCTAAGCAAAATAAGTCAGAGAAAGATAAATATCATATGACTTCACTCACACGTGCAATTTAAGAAACAGAACAGATGAACATAGAGGAAGGGAAGGAAAAATAAGATGAAAACAGAGAGGGGTGCCTGGGTGGCTCAGTCGGTTAAGCATCCGAATTCAGCTCAGGTCATGATCTCACAGTTCATGGGTTTGAGCCCTGCGTCGGGCTCTGTGCTGATAGCTTGGGGCCTGGAGCCTGCTTCGGATTCTGGGTCTCCCTCTCTCTCTCTCTGCCCCTCCCCCGCTCACGTTCTGTCTCCCACTCTCTGTCAAAAATGAATAAACATTAAAAAAAATTAAAAAAAAAAAAAAACAACAGAGAGGGAGGCAAACCATAAGAAACTCCTAAGTACAAAAAACAAATTGAGGGTTGATGGGAGGCGGGGCTTGGGTGGGGGAATGCACTAAATGGGTGATGGGTATTAAGGACGGCCCTTGGGATGAGTACTGGGTGTTATACTAAATTCTACTCCTGGAACCATTATTACATTACTTTAACTAACTTGGATTTGAATAAAATTAAAAAAAAAGTATATATGATCCCAAAGTTACCATACAGCTCAGTCTATATTATTTTCCTTGAACAATAAATTCTGAGATGCTATCAAAACTTGGACTCGGTTACTTACAGGAAGCTGCGATTTATAAGTGAGAGAAGATGAACACTGTACTGGAAGTCCAAAAGTCAAATCCCTAACAAGACAGCGAGACTACTTTTACGATAAAAATATCAAATCTTGTGAAGGAAGAAACAAAAACGGACCTAATTAATAAAGCAGGTGTGCAAAATATGGAAGCTGTTGACCCACTGAACCCACATGGAGTGGAACGGGAAAGAACATGCACAGATACAGCTTCCAGAAACCCAGAGCAAATCCTGAGAATGTAAGTCACAGACTTGGAACCTGGTGCGTCAAGCACCTGGTATCTTTAATCATGGGATCCTTGGCAAGTACATTAAAGGAGCAGCAAAAAACAAAGACATTTTTTCCAACCATAAGCATATATAACTTAGTGACTCATATCCTGCAAAAATATAGATTCACAAAAATTATCATGGATAAGTTAATAGCAAGGTATTCAAAAGCATGAAGGTTCAGTGTGGACAGTCTTTTACTTGAGAATCCTAATATACAGAGGAAATCTTGGAACATACAGGCAACACGCACTGTCAGTAATAAGGCAATCATCAAAAGAGAAAAAAGAAAGGCAAGCAGCAGCCAGAAGAGATGTCACAACTAGGGGTGGAAATAAAAATATCTTTGTATAAGGCGGTGACTGAGAAGCTTAGGAATACATGGTCCTTGATGGGCAGACATGGAAGAGAACGGATGTAAGAGACCAGTTGTGGTTTCCTAACTGAAATTAGGAGAAAAAGGCTTGAGAGTGGTAAAATCCTCACGGCCTCGCTACCTAACTAGGGAACAATACCATGTATAAAAATTACATATAGCCACTAATAAAATTGATTTAAATATTTTATCTCTTTTGCAATTCTAGAAAAGAGATTACCCACTAGACAGGGGGAAAATGGATATGCAAATCATCCAAAAATGGATAATCAGACGCATGGAGAATGAAGTATACAATTCTCTAATATGTGGTGGGATTTGGTTAGCTTATCTTAGGTGTTCCCACAGTCATCTATACTGCTCCACCCCGTCTTGTCCTTGTTTACCAGGCTGCTGTGACATCTTAGGCACTTAGCAAGTGGAACTTTTAGCAGGCTTATGGTAATGATGGTAACATCGCTAAGTTGACATGAATAGACACTGGCTCACTCCTATAGATGGGCAACTTACCTGCGCTATGGTTTCCAGCTACTTGTTTTTCGGTCCACATGAAGTTTACCCTTTTCTACCCTACGCAAACTATGGGTTCCAGGTTGAAAACAGACAGAAGCTTAGGGGGTCAGGAGTGCAGGGAGGGGTACCTTCATGATAAAGAAGAGGAGGATGATGATGACGACGTTGACTTGTGGATGGATCCACACAGCCGACTGGCCCAGGCTTGCAGGGTCACCCACATGCTTTACCCACGTGTTGTTGTCAAAGAGGGTACTGATGGCTTCACGAGGCATCAGCTGTGAGAGGGAGAAGCAAAAGGGGGCAGGTCTCCAAGGATGTTTGGTGCTAGCGCTTTGTACAGAACTGATTCTCCTGGGGTTTCCCGGGTAGCTCAGTCGGTTAAGCATCCGACTTCAGCTCAGGTTATGATCTCATGGTTCATGAGTTCGAGCCCTGCATTGGGCTTTCTGCTGTCAGCGTGGAGCCTGCTTGGGATTCTATCTCTCCTTCTCTCTGCCCCTCCCTCTCTCTCTCCCAAAAAACAAACAAACAAACAAACATACAAGTGGATTCTCTCG